CACACACACACACACACAGTGCTTGCAGCAGCCAAATCTTACTGAATCCACATTCCTGATGTTTGCACAATCTTGCCAGCTCTGAATGCAGGGGATGTAGTCAGAGCATCTTACCACCAGAGAGCAGCACAGGATTGTGATGCAGCCACACAAAGGCATCAAAACAGTAATAACCAATGATCAATATTAAGGGATTCAGTGGAAAAGAGTAAACTGATTTGGACAAAGTTGACATTAATGAATGGATCTCTCATGAAAGTAAATCGGGTTTTTTGGGTCATGTCAGTCCAAATCGTCCTCTGGGTATAACTGGAATCAGCTTTTGGCCTGCATGATGCCCACATGACAGTTTTTCTCCCCAACACATTGACAGTTACCCTGGGATGTCCCTGAGATGTTGAGGAGACAGATGGGTCCTGTCTCCAGTGACCTGTCAGTGGTTCCAGGCCGACATCTCAGCAGGGCTACGCAGGGTAATCTGATCAGGTTTTTTATTGCTGCTGTTGACTGAGTCAGGCCCTTCCCATTAAAGCTAGTGTGAGTGTGTGCGTGTGTGCGTGTGTGTGCGTGTGTGTGTGTGTGTGCGCGTGTGTGTGCGTGTGTGTGTGTGTGGAGAGGGGGCAGTGAATATGCCTGTGTGTCTGTATACAATGTGTCTTTGTGAGTCCCTGGCTTTGCGTTGGAGAGAAAGATCTGGCTGTTACTCCAGAGAGAGAGAAAGAGGGAAGGAGACAGATATTGGAGGGATAGAGGAGGGGTTTGAGATCTTCTCTCTTCCCTGTGTCTCCGTCCCTTGCTTTCTTCCAAGTTTATTCTCTGTGCTCCCCCTTTTGTCTCTTTTTTAAACAGAGTACAAGTCTAGTTTTTTCTGAGCTTACTCTTCTTCTAAACTCCTTCTCTCCACCTCTGCTTTCACTTTTCTTTTTCTTTCTTGCTTCCACACCTTTAACGCTTAGACCAAATAAAGTGGCTTCCTTGTCACAGTGAACACAAACAAGTAAATGCCCGACCATGATTAGATCTCATATTCATTCCAGTGTAGGTTTTTGTGTTGCATGATACTTCCTTAGGCTCTGCTTGTCCACTTTCTCTCCCTTTCCTCCCCCCCGACTACAGCTGTGTGAGAAATCAAGGCAAAGTTCATTCATATCACACATTTCACAACTGGTACACTCAGCGTGCTTTTTGTTAAAATACAATCAGCAACACGTAGCGTGCAAAATCTAAAATCGTTTCCATCCTCACTTTATATTTCTGCACATGAGCAACATTTATGTCCCAGAGGAGAGGGACACCTGTTGGAATGAGACACCACATGAGAAAAACACAGAGGAGGGACAGTGTTTGTGTAGATGATGAAATAGAGGGAGCTAGAAAAAGAATGTATTTGTTAAAAAAGACAGAGAAACAAAGAGTGGGGTGAGTGGAGGACAGGGACAGTGCCTATTGACACGACAGGTGCCTGCACTTCAGATGCACCCCAACATGGTGTGTGTGCGTGCGTGTGCATCTTATTATGCACCAGAGAAACACAATATCCTAGCTTGATGCGTGTGTGCCGCACCACTGAAAGTATGCATATGCATGTGCCCATCTTGTTTCTGTTTGTTGTCACCTGAGAGGTTGTGTGTCTGTGCGTGTCTGTGCCTGTGGTGGGTCCAGATCAGATTAATCAGAGAGTCTAGTGGGACTCAGTTACAGCTCATCCCCATCTCAAACCATGTATGTGTATACAATGAATTATGTCTGATTGAATCCTGTGCTTTTTATTTCCTCCTCCACTCTATGGTTCGGATCAAGGAAAAACCAACAGTAAGTCCCTCCATCAGTCAGTCAGCAGGCTGCAGCATTGCAGACATTCCTGCTGGGTGTAGTTAGGGGAGTCGGAGAACGAGAGCGGCTGCCAAAAAATCTGTTGCTCCATAGTGATTTTTTTCTTTATGAGAAGCCCAAGTTGTAATGTTGCTTGGCAGTGGGATTTGGACGGGATCAGACTGTAGCTGTGCAGCCTCCTTAGCTCTCACGCTTCTTAAAAACTTGATCCGCTGCCACTGACACTGGGGGAAAGTTACCTGATGACTCTGGATGACTTCCTGAGAGCCTCCAGTCTGGATGATATCCTCTTTATATAATTCACAATTTCACATTATCATTCATAAAATACGACTTTAATCTCACGATCTGGCTGCCGGAGTAGCACTAGCACTTACTGCCTGTCGCTTTGAAATGAACTCTAAGCAGATTAGTGGTTTCCAATAACTGTGATAACAGCTAACATATTTTTTAATAACAATTTCCGACTGCAGCAGTAATCTGTCACTGTCAGCAACCGGGAAAACAACTAAAAAGCATTAAAAGTGATTCAAAGACTTAAAGGAGCCATTTGATAACACTCCTGCACCCTGCAGTCAAATCGATGGTTTGGCAGTAACTCCACGAATTAAACCAAACAGAAGAAGAAGAAAAACGGGCCCCCTTCACTGGTGGGCCGAGCAGAGAAGAAGAAGAAGACACAGTAGATGGCAGTAATGCACCTTGATGTCATTTATGCTACGGTTCAGTGGTTCCCAACATTTTTCTAGTACGCTCATGTGGGTAAGTTAATTATCTGTCTGGCCAATTGATTGGCTTAGCTTAGCATCATGATCGGAAACAACAGAGGTGATCATAACTCCTTGCACATTCCAAAAAAAGCAGATATCATGTGCCACTTTAAGTGAAGCCAAAAGCATCTCGGTTGGAGTAAATCCCTTCAATCTCCTCCATGTTAGCAGATGGGGCATGGGCTAAACTAAAAAGTGAGACAACGTCAAATACATTTTTCTTAAAGATGATGTCTGTCATTTAAAGTAGTTCATCTTATTAAAGTCATTAAAGTGTTCATTTTTAAAAATGTGGGTGAAACATCTTTGACAGCTGAGACTGCCTCATGATTGGTGAAGTGCTCCATCCCTCGATCATGACTGTACAGGCTCCGGCTCCAGTTGAGCAAGATGGCAGTGTTCATGTCCGGGATATTTTGGCTTCATTTCTGGACAGTGGTAGGAAGCAGGGACGCGTCGTCAATCTTTATATGCAGTCTACACTTGAGTTTCATATCTTTTCTGCTGAAGGCTGTGGTGCTCAAGGGCTCATCAAATAGGTAACCCTCAGGTTTTAAAGGTCAGGTTACTCTTGATGGAGACTATAACTCAGATGTCGCTATAATGTCTTCTACAGCTCTGACAGAAGTTTAAAAAATGACCCTGGCTGTGTTGAACCATGTGTGTCACAGAAAGGGTAACACAAACTCTTACGTTAGGGGTCGGGTTCTGACACAATAAACCAACTGCCTGTCGGAGTTGCATGGGCTTCAGTTAGTGTAGGAGCGGATCAAAAGTCAGGATATTTTGACCTCTGCTGCTTTAATATTGAACGTTTCTTTCAATTGAACGTTTGAGAAGTAAAAATGTTCAATAACTGGATCTACCCTGTAAGTTCTAGTTCAAAGTTTGATTGCATAAGGAAAAGTGTGTGTAGATATTTAACAAATTTGACACATGTGCACACTGCAGTATCATGTTCACATTAGTTGTCAGTGCAAATCTGAGGAGACAGACAAGCAGGCGAGCAGAGGACTGAACTAAAACACACCCCTTCTTCACAAACTCTGACAACCCTCCTCCTCCTCCTCCCTCATTCACTCAGCTCAATCTGACGCCGTCTCTCTCTCTCTCTCTCTCCTCTTGGAATCTTCTCCGTCTTTCCCTCCTTTGCAAAAAAATATGCAGGGAGGAGAGGAGGAGAAAAGAGAGCGAGGAAGCGGGGAAAGTTGGTAGAGGAGCGCGAGAGAGGGGAGAGGAGCAGATGGGAGGAAGGAAGGAAGGACAGGATCGCTCGAGTGCCGCGACAGATGAATAAACAAATATATGAATCAAAGCCTAGAATAAAAGGCGAGTTATAGGCGCGCCGCCGCGGTGCGTGGACGCGGACAAGATAGCGGCGGTGCGCGCTGGAGCAGCCGAGTCCTGAGTGGGTCTCACTCCTCATGTTCTCCAAACTCTCGGCGAGGCTCCCTCAACTTCTCGGTGTCTGAAGAACTCCCCCCCCCCTGTGCCTCTGCGTCCCTGCCAGCACCCTCTCCCCGGAAAAGAAGACACGAGGACGGCAGTGGAGGAAGGAGGGAAGAGAGGACTTTTGTGTTCCTTCCGAGGAGTCTAGCTCGCCGCAGCCGGAGTTTAGGCGTCGGCGCCCGGGCAGGCAGTCCCTCGCCATGGCCGGGGCCAAGCCGGGAGTCCATGCGCTGCAGCTCAAGCCCGTGTGTGTCCACGAAGCGCTGAAGAGGGGAGGGAAGTTCATCAAGTGGGACGAGGTGAGGGTGGACATGTTTGGAACTGGTCCTCAGCTCAGAAAACACAGTTTGCTTTCTTGAAATAAGCCAGAGTGTTGTTTATTGATCCAGAAGTGCTCCAGCCTTTGATTCAAAGTCAACACGAGGCGTGACAGCCTGTTTTTGACAGTTTAGGCCCGGTGTTGTGAAGTGACACGCGAGATCTGTGTGTGTGTGTGTGTGTGTGTGTGTGTGTGTGTGTGTGTGTGTGTGTGTGTGAGTGAGTGAGAGAAGTGTGTTTTTGTGTGTGTGTGTGTGTGTGTGAGAGAGAGAGAGAGAAAAGTGTGTTTTTGTGTGTTTGAGAGAGAGAGATAGATGTGTGTGTGTTTGTGGTTGTGTGTGTGTTTGTGTGTTAGAGAGAGATGAGTGTGTGCAGTGTCCTGTACACTGTGTGTGCCTTGAACACAGGTGCCCCATTATATTTGCATGGGTGTGTGTGTGTTTTGATCAGATACTGCAGTAGAATTCCCCTGTAGTTGGCAGCAGCAGCAGCAGCAGCAGCTTTAATGTGTTGTGTTGTGTTGTGTTGTAGTGTGGTGTGTTGTGTTGTGTTGAATTCTTGTCAAGCCGGTTTTCTTCAGTCTCAGGTTGAGCTCCTACACTCTCCTTTCTTTCCCTTCTCATCTGTCCCTCTGTGTTTGTGCCTCCATTCCTTGGTGGACTATGGAGAGTAGAAAACACCTGCTCAACTGGGTATGGGGAAAAGTTTGTCCGTGTGTTTATGGCACAAGCACAGAAATGTCACCTTTTTGTACAAACTTTTTTAAAGGTTATAATTGTTTTTCTCTACTGGTTCTTCCGCATATTGCTTCAGAAGCTGTCCAGCAACGCTGGCATGCACTTGCCTGTGTCATTCACCATAATAAACCTGGTGAAACCTTTGCCCAGTAGAAACACGCACCTTGTCAGGACCAGTAGACCTCATGGGGACAAAAGCCTGGTAATAATAATAATAGTTGTATTTGTGTTTCACCCTTCAAAGCAACTGTTGCTTTGCAACAAGGTCAAATCTATAAATCCAATAATACAAAACACCAGAAGCAACAGGCAAAATAATATATAATATAAAAAAACAGACAGCAAGTGATATAATATAAAACCAAGGACAACAAATACAATAGTAAATCAGCATTTAAAATTTATTGCAATGGAAAATCTTCAGAGAAACAATAATGACGTAAACGTAAGTAATGAGGCAAAACTTAAGGTTAATGTTAGGGATAAGGTTTTGGTTTGGCTGTCCACAATGAATGAAAGGCAATGCAGTGTCCTAACAAGGATAGTTGTGCACACTGTGTGTGTGTGTTTGTTACACAGACAGGGCACAAGGCCACTCTTCTCCACAGAGAAAGTAGGTGTGTGTGTCCATCAATGATTAACTCAGAGGCTGATGGACTCCAACTGGACTCCTGTGTCTTCCATTTGGAAAGCCCTGTTGTGGATTTACAACAGAGACACATGCAAGATGTGCGTGCCATCAAGTGTTCATGCCTGTGGATCTTCACAATCCTGCAGGGAGAGGTCTGCGTAGTTCAAATAAAGCTATTACCATCAACTTGGCAGATATCAGGTCAGGTGTTGTGTTGACACATGCGCACGCACAAAATACACAGACATGCAAACTGCTGCCAAGGGCCATTAAGAAATGGACAACTTAAGTACTTGGAAGTAAATAACTTCTCAGCAGCAGAGCCCCACACATTGCAATAATGACGCGATGCGCATGTGTGTGCACTAGTGTGTATGTCTGGCCTCCAAAGAAGGGGCTTGTCACGCAAACAGTGAATGCCATGTCCTTTTGATTTCCTTTCTCTCTCTCTCTCTCTCTCTCTTTCTCTCTCTCTCTCTCTAACATGCACACCAGCCCTCTCTGTCTTCTCTCCATCTCTCTCTCAAAGGGAATTCCCAGGAAATGGTTATGCTGGTGATTAAGTGTGTGAACACTTGAAAACATGTGCAATCTTTCTCCCTGTCTATCTTTCATCCCGTCTTCCCCCTGTATTTACCATTTTTCCTCTAGAATACACAAACGTTTTATGGAGGATAAATGGGGAGGGAGAGAGAGAGAGAGAGAGAGAGAGAGAGAGAGGGATCAAGTTCAGGGTAGGAGGATTGTGGGAGAGATGAGAGAGAAAAAGAAACAAAGACACTTTTGAGTTGGAAGGTAGATGCCAAAATGCTCCATTGTTCTATATGAAATGCATGGCTGAGATGATACAGATTTGATCTTCATCCAGTTGGGTCTTTATTCAGCTCGAGCTAAAATGAAAGGTGCAGTTCATTCAGTGCAGTTATCCTGCACCATGAGATCAGATTCACATCCTCTATAAATTCTGAATGTGACTGTTGTGAAAACACTGTTTCTACTTGGCCTGAACTTAGAGCAAACTCACAGAGGAACTGTACACTCCACAGTGTAATAGAAATGCTGTGATTGAGATTATTATTTCACTTTTACATCCCCATTTTCTCTCAGTAGTGACTTGAGATAAAGCATTTAGTTATCAGTATGATAACAGGATGTCATGTAGAGCCCCAGGGCTATGAATTTTTGAAGTATAAAGTGTAAAATACCGATATTGAAGAGTAAAATATTTCGTATACCAATGTGTTGGCAGATACATACATCTTTCTGTATATAGATATACATAAACGGTTGATTATCCTTAAGATGTCATTATCAAATCTAACTGAGGCTTGACATTTTACAGTTTAATTGTTTTTGCGCCAAATTAAAAACATAAATCCACATTTTCTGCACTATTTACCTTGTAAGATAAATACGATATGTCTGAAAGGCTCATATGTTGCAATTTCTATCTAAAGTCGTTTAGACCATGATATCGTCATTGTGTGTAGGTATAGTGCTGCAACTATTGATTGATATATTATTATATTATTTAATTAACAAATCAATAGAACACAGCACACAACAGCTTTTCTCCATGTTGTATCATTGCAAATTAAATATATTTTGAGTGTTGCACTGTGAGCTGAACCAAACAAGCATCTTGAAGAGACATGTTCTACTTTCTGATATGTCATGGACTCAGCAGTTAATGTTTCTTTACCTGTTAATCCTCTTGCTACTGTCCCAAACAGAAGCTTATTTAAAAAAATGCACATTTTACTGTTTCGTAAGCAATCCGGTGGATTTCCTGCCAATTCAATAGTGCAAACGCTGTATTATGACAAGTCTATCTTTCTTATTCAATCATGTTTATCTTGATTAAAATTCAACCCAATCAATGAATAACTTGTGTTAAATTATGAGCAGAGAACAGTTGAAAGTAGAGCGTTTGCTGCTTGGGTCCATCCTGACACTTAATCATGCATTAACTCATAAAAGACTTGTTATTATATGTTATTATTTTTTAGCCTAAAACAGTCAAAGTCTTTAGGAAACTTTTATTTTTGTACAAATGGTGCATAGAACTAAAATTCCTTATTTTTCCAGAAGACACCCTGGGGACACTGAAAGTTATCTATTTCAAATGAAGCATGACAGATTTTAGCCAAATGTGCTTGTATAAATAGTTTTTATTCCCACATTGATTTGCTCAGAATGTACTATAGTTGATATTCAAGATGAATTGCTTACCTGATCAAACTGTGATCTAGTAAAACCCTTAGAGGAGACTTTGTGTAGGAGTAAGTCCAGAGGTGGGAACAGAGTGGTTATTTTAGATAATCCAAGATGGGCTGCTGTCAGAAAAACTTGTTATGTTCCTTTAAGGATTTAGCAAAGTGAGAAAAGAATTAGGACACACACACACACACACACACACACACACACACACACACACCAGAGGGTGCCTCAGGCCAGTGCTGTTTGTTTACATGAAAACCCCACTTCTGACCCCATCCCTCTCTTTCCCCCTCTTCCCCATCACTATGTCCAACTTCCATGTGGCTTTATTCCTTCATCTCCTGTCCTCCACCTCTAGTCCCTTTATATATCATGCTCTCTTTTTTCCTTCCGTCATTCATCCTTCTCTTCTCCTGTTGCCTATACTCTTCTTGCATCGAGCAGCCGATGTCACCCGTCTTATCTGTTGGTCTCACAACAAAACCTCTGTTTCTCAATGGCCTTGGGAATTCTACTGGAGGATCATCAACTGACACACACACACACACACTCATGCACACACTCACACACACTCATGCACACACTCATGCACACACTCATGCACACACTCACACACAGTGACTCATATAGGGGGGAGGAGGAATGCAGTTCAAATTGACCCTCTTTCTCCTGCTCTCCGGCTTGTGTACACATGTGTGCTCATATGCATGCGTGTGTGTGTGGTTGTTTTGTTCTGGGTGTGTGTTTCAACGTTGAACGACTTCCTGTTGGAGCTTGTTGCGAGGCTCCGGAGCCCAACCATTTCCCTCCCTCCCTCCCTCAGTCACTGCCGCTCCGCCCCGCCCTCTGCGGCCTCGGCCACAATTCAATTTAGACAAATTCCAACTGGAATTCAGTTAAAATTCCTCCTAAACAACCAATTAAACAAACACAGACAGACAGTTTGTCTACAGAGCAGCCTGGCTCTCTGTCAAGCGTGCCTCGAAGTGCTTTGATACAAATCTTAAAAAGTACACAGAAGTCAAATAAATAATCATCCTAACACATAACGTTAACATTTGCCTGCTTTGCGGAGTGTTTGCATTATTATTATACCATCTGAGACCACTTTTCCATTCAGAGCCTCTGTGCAGAAAGCTGCTGTGCCACTCCACTGAGCATCGTGCATGAAGATTCTATCAAACCAAGCACTTTATATTCCCTTTTTTTGCAGTTATAAAGCAAAAGGAGACTCCTACATGTTTTATTTGGTCAGAATCATCTGAGAAAAGCATTTCCTCCCCCCTTCCACATTTCGGTACTTAAATTTGTTTCCGTTCACATTGCACAATTACAAAAAAAAAGGGGGGTTTGAATAGAGTCGCCCAGCCTCATAAGTTGCTCATTTATTTGA